GGAAGTGCCCCATACCTCCTGCCCTCACCCTTGCCTAGCCCCCCACACAGGCTTCCGTAAGCCACAAGCACAGAATGACTTTCAACCTACTATTCTACAGCCGGCTAAAGAACAGAATGCAGACACTAAACATAAACATCTCATCCTCCAATACTTGTTACGACTAATGAACACACGCTGGTACTTCGTAACCACCCAAAGTCCACAGTTTACATTAGGGGTCACTCCTGGTGTTGTACATTCTACGGCAGGGGTCCCCAACCCTGGGCAGTGGGCCGGTCTCAGTGTGGCCTGTTAGGAATCAGGCCGCAGCAGGAGATGAGCGACAGGCAAGCGAGCGAAGCTTCGTCTGTATCTGCAGCCGCTCCCCAGCGCCAGCATCACCGCCTCAGCTCTGCCTCAGAGCATCAGGGATTAGATTCTCATAGGAGCACAGGTCCCTGGTGCCAGAAAGGTTGGGGACAGCTGTTCTGTGGGTTTGGACAAATGTATAATGACATGTATCCATCGATATAGAATCAGAGTATTTTCACTGCCCTAAAAATCCTCTGTGCTCCCTCTATTCAACCTTCCCCTCACCCCTGAAGTAATGCTTTCAATATTATTTGTTTGGAGCATGTTTTCAGTTTTGTGGGCCATGTCTATTTTGCAACTACTCAACTCTGCCATTATAAAGTGAAAGTCTCCACAGATAATACGTAAATGAATGGGCATCTCTCTGTTCTAATGAAATTTTATTCACAAAAACAGGCAACAGCTGTCTGTCAACCTCTGGACAACAATATTGTTTTACTCGATTCCACCATTTTTACAGGGAAGAAATTTCTAAATACCTTGACTGGCATTAATAATCTGTTTTTCCTATTTTTCTCTCTGAAATCTATCTTCTTTCTGGAAGGTGAATCAATAGGCAATAAAAGCTGAGGTTATATAATGAAAGACAATTTGCTTTTTTAGACCATCCCTGCTTTAAAGCTACGTTACCTTTCTCGGCTTTAAATCCCAAGCTTCCCAAAAAATTATCTAAAGAAAATCCCTCGCTCTTTGAAACTACGGTCTCTGCTTGTCCAATCAAGGGTGGTTTGGGCCGCCTTGCAAAGCAAGACCCATCAGGTGGCTGCAACAGAGACACGCTGTTTGTGGACCATCTGCCACGTAAACATGACAGGGAGTGCAGTCCGACTGCTGAGGGTAGATCAAGATCTTTTGCTCTGCAAAGAAATCCATGTTTTTTCTTAAGTTCAAACAAAACCAACTGCTCTGCAGGGGGATATGTGGACATGACTGCCTTCCGGTCCCCAATTATCTGTAAAACAGAGCAAAAGCCAGCCCGCGTTTACCCAGCACGGGGAATTTGTCTTACGAGACCCCTTGGTCCAGAATGCCCGTGTCCACTCAAGAATAGCCTATAAAAATTGAT